TAACCTTTTAATAAACCGGATATTTTCAGTATGGTTATCCCCATTCAGAGCTAATGGGGCACTTCACAGTATCTCTATAGCCACTATAACTGTTTTCCCCTCTCTGACTCCAGAATTAAGCTTGTGTTCTTATAAAGCTGGAAGCAAGCCCAGCATGCCTGGAAACTCTTTTCTTCCCGAGTGATTATTCCTATAGAGATGGAGATTCACGTTGTGAAAAGAAGACCCCAGTGCTTTTATTGTGAAGGTGCTATGAAAACACAGACTTCAATGTGTCATTCTTTTTCCCTTGGCAGATCTTTTCTCTCTTTGATTTGCTGCGATACTGTGTCAGTGTGTGCAATCAGATTGCTGCCCACCTGCACATCCACGTGTTCCGAATCAAGTCCTCCACACATTCTAACCACCATTAGGAAACGGGGAGTCACCAGAAGGAGAACTAAAGAAAGAGTTGGTTTTCTACATGAAAGGATGTGAAGATACATAGGAGACTAAGGCAAAAAAGCAGATAAGAACAAAGTAATTTATAATAATCAGTGTTGTATAACTTTTATTCTTCGTTATCAGTAACACTCCTTAACTAGTCTCCTGCCTGAGAGAGTGAATTCCAAGTACACCCTAGTCAACTCTACATGTAGTCAACTCTTGGTTCGAAGCCCAGGGAAGCATGCAGGAAGTAATGCTCTGTCTTTGTAATTACCTTGATTACAAACTAATCTATCTATGGTGAATGGATCCCCAACAACTGACGTTTCTAATGTAGTAGAATTACAGCTGCAATACAACTTGCTTTTAATTTTAATATTTCATCATCTCTTAGTGAAATACTTGTTTAGTGTCCACTTGAAATTTATTTACTAAAGACCTGAGCTGGTAAAACCAGAGATATCTCACTACTTGTGCAGCTGAAGCAGCTCTCAGGGCTTGAGTCCAGACTGAGGTGGTTCCTTTGCTTGTGCGTTGCTGGTTAAAGCGGTTTCTTGCTAAAGGCCGACGTGTTGAACAGGGTTCTGCAAGTCAAGGGATGAGGAGTGCAAAATAGTGTGGTATCTTTGTCAATTTTATTTTTTTAAATAAACAGTATCTAAAAAGCCCACTTCCTGCTCAGTTTTCTTCAGTGGAAAGACTCCAATTTTACGGTTTACTTTTTTATGTATGGAACTCCGGCAAAATTTCCTTTCTGCTCTTAATAAATAAGACTTCTGAGAGCAAGAGTTGTCTTCAGATGTGTGTGTTGCTCTGTCTTACTTGGAGTGATGAAGTGCTTGGCCACTTTCTAGTGCTTTTAGGTGTATTGTGTTGTCATTCCAGGATCTCCAAGATCTGCGATGTAGTGCAGTAAGTTTGGGGTGGGTTTTCTTGCTGCTCTTTTAATACCATTTTAAGTGGGGTGAACTGAGCTAAGCAGCTGATCCCCATGTTGGTGGGGTTGTTCCAGTACTTGCCATGTGTAGTGATGTGCCATGTGGGTTTGCCCATCCCTAGTAGTGTTCAAGGCCAAGTTGGATGGGGCTTGGAGCAACCTGCTCTAGTGGAGGGTGACCCTGCCCGTGGCAGGGGGTTTGAACTGGATGAGCTTTAAGGTCCCTTCCACTTCAAACCCTTCAGTGATTCTATGAACTGCATCGGGGGGCTAAGTTAGATTTCATGGCGGGTTTAAGTGCACAGTAGTGAAGTGCTGCAGTATGTGCCACAGGCCCTGGCATTGAAGGAAGCTTCAGCCCCTGAACAGAGTGCCTAGGCTCACTGTACAGGGCAAAGGGAATGTCTCCAGAGTAGGATCTGCCATGGCTGTTGTGGGGCTGCTTGGGAGATGGTGGGGAATGCTAGGAACCTGCTGGCTGAAATCCTAGCCCTCTGAGCATGAAACATCTCAAGATGGTAAGATAATGCCTGTGTCTACTGGGAACCTAGGGCCACAGCAGTACCTGAAGGCACCTGCATGTGTTTCTTCTTGGAGGGAATTAAGTGCAGCTTAATTAAAATAATAAACCCCTAGAGCAATAAATCAAAATCCCCCTTGGCCAGGAAGTGGTGATGTGTATTTCCTGTGATACACTAATGGTTAGAAAACGTGCTCAAGAAGTGGAAAGAAAAGTCCATTTCTTCAGTGACTGGAGAGCTTCTCCCACCTCCCTGGGCCAGTGCTCAGTGTCAGCCTGTCATTCCCGAGTTGTGTGCTTGCAGCTGTGTCCACAGGACTGCTTGTGCTAGAGAGCACAGCGTGGCTTTGGTTCAGTTGCTGAAGTGTGTGTCTCTGTGAGGAAAGACCTGGGGCCCCTGGTTGAGATGTTGCAGGAAGAGGAAGTGAAATGCTAACCTTGTCAGCTGAGCTGCAGCATGTGGATGGGCTCTGGTTTGGGTCTTCTTTGGTTGGAAGAGTCTTGGTTCCTTCTTAAGGGCTGATACCAGTTCACTGGGTGAGTTGGAGGTCATGTGTTGGGATTGAGGCACTGGAGAAAGGAGGAACATCCTCAGGATAAGGAGGAAACTAATGTATGTTTCCCTGCTTTCCCCTTAACTCCCAGGTTCTTGCATGCTTGTGAGCAGCTGTTTTATGGCCAGTGCAGCCAAGGACTCTTTGGGGGACCTGACCCTATGGGTTTGTATTGGGGGTCCCCAAGGGCTCCCTGCAAGAGTTTGGTTCCTGCATCCTCACCACATAGCTGGGGCGCAGCTCTGAAGTGTCCTGGAGCTCTGATGGTCCAAGTGCCGTGGTGCACAGTGGAGATGCTTTCCCTAAGGTGGCAGCTGCCTCTCCACTATCACAGCTTCAAATAGACCTGGCATTCAGATGAGTGCTTTATTTAGCTTGAACTGCATTCAGCTGGGTGAAGGCTTGATCTGGATACTCCAACCTCTGCTGCTGCCCTCCAAGCAGTGAGCAAGATGAATTCTACAAGGCAAAAAACCTGGCAGGATTTTAAGGTGCTGAGGGCCTGTCTCCCCTCCCACAAACCACTTGTGTCTCTTCATCAGCATGAAGTGGGTACAGAACTCCCTGGAGTGGGAGTGCTTTCTAGGGATGCAGACAAGGAGAGCCATACTCTTTGTCTCAAAGGTTTTAAGATGAAGCTGCTCCAAATGATGGCTCAGAAATACTTGGTGAAGAACTGAAGTCTTCATAGGGTTATCCAGAAGGAAACCTGTGTTCCCAAACGTGTCTAAGCCCAAGCCTGTTGATGTTAAGGCAATGCAATCGGGTACCTTTCCCTGAGCTTTTTGCTACCTGGATGTTTGAATGGCCTCTTGCGTTGGAGCCAGCCAGGAAAAACTCCCTGTTTCTATCCTCATGAAGTGTCAGTGCTATCAGGGAATAGTTACTGCTGTGGGTAGAGGCATTTATACAATACCTATAATAAATAATGGCAGAAATGAACTTTACCCCTGGTGCTTGAGCATTACCATGCTGTCTTGTTTGTGATCATAGGTTGTCTTCGATAGACTTGGAGAGCTGAGGTTGCCTGAGGTGTCGAGAAGGGGAACAGAGGTTTTGTGGGCTCAGCCTGACTTTTTGCCATGCTTTTTCACTTTCTGTTGCCTTCAGAAGACGCTTGGAAGGAGGAGCTTCTGCAAGAGCCTGTCGAGCTTCCCGGAAGCCCTGTGTCTGGGTGCCCTCCCTTCAGTGCAAACGCAACCTGTCTGCTGTGAAAGCAGGCTTCCCCCTGAAACTCTCTAAAGGCAAGCTGCAAATTGCTGCTTGGGGTTGGAGTGTTGCCTCTTGCAAGAACTTGGTAAAGGAAGCTCCTTGCTTTGGCAAGCAGTTTGATGCAGGAGAGAGGCAGCTCAAGACGCCTCAGGGCCTGTTTCTGTTTCATTTGAATGTCAGTCTTGTTTCCTACAAGTGTTTGTGGCTTCTTTCCTTCCTACCCTGCATGCACCAGGTACATCCAGTGCTGCTGTGCCCCCCTCTTTGTGTTTGGAATGGCATTGCAGAGACGTTTAATCATCAGAGAGCAGGAGGTGAAGACTGCAGCCCTGTTCTGAGGTTAGAGCCAGGTGGGAAGTGATCTGAGGTAGGAGATGTGTCTATTGTTGGTACCAGCACAATCTGATGGCATTTAGCAATACTGACTGCATTGGCTCTGGTGGATTCAATATGCCCAGGGCTATTTGCTGGCACCAAGGCAACTGGCAGAGGGTGATACATGCCAAAACATGAACCTTATCTTCCAAGCAGGGCAGCTGCGTAGCAGGAATTGAACCACAGATCAGGACGCATTCCTGTGCTGACTCCCAGTCCATGCCCAGGAGTTGTTTGCATGAGTGTGAGTCGGCCAGTGCTATGCTGGGAGCTATGTTAATGATTTAGGAGAATAAATGAGCACTTTCCAGTCCAGGGAAGCATTTCTTGGCACTGTTTTACTGACTCTTGTAGATGCAGATCAAGTGGTAGACAAAGCTTTGCAGGAGGGAAATATGCTGTGAGTTCTGATGTGCTGCAGCGTGACCTGAGCCCTGGACGTGGTCCTGCTCCTGGCAAACAGCAGCTGAGTGTCCCCAGGTGTCTCTAGCAGCAAAGACCATCTCCCTGCAGGAGGTTTGAGGGAGGCAGGCTGTGCTCAAAGGAAGGAAATACGGTATTTTATTCAGCATCTGCCCCTTCAGCACGGTGTCTTCTTGACTGATCACAGGGAAGTGCACACTTCTTGCAATAGGCAGCCTGTCATCCTCTGGCATCAAAGGAAGGACACTAAAGCTCTTGCCAGTTTGCACCAGTGAGGTGAGTAATGATAATATCAAGCTTCTTTTCAGTGTTCAGACCAACCCTTGAAACTTGCTGATCAGGAACCCCAGCCCTTGCTGGGGCAAGTATCTGGCCCTGGTTTGCCTGGGAAGGAAACCCAGCTTCCCCTGCTGCAATATTTATTCCCTGTACGAGTGCATTAGGAAAGGGGGAGAACCAGAGTTCAGCTTCAACTCAGCTGCAGGCATCGTTTCGGAGTCAGGGCTTCAATGAACTGCGGGGGTTTAAAAGAAGTTGACATCAAAACCAGAGACAAGGAGGATGTTGATGTGTTTTACTGCTGGATTTAACAAATACTTCCTCCCCACTCGAAGCTGTTGATCAGCCATTTCCCTCTACTACAAAACACAGCCCAGTGGCCTTCACAGTTTGCTTATAGCACAAATAAATAACCTGCTGGAAAAGACTCTTTTTGTTTCTATAAAGAGCTAAACTGGGCTCTAAGTGGTCCCAGGCAGCTGCTGTAGAGGAAACCACTACAACCCACCATAACAGTTCCTGCTGCTATTTAACAATGAGTATATCTTGATAGAAAATCCAATGAAACACTTGTTAATAATAGAAACCTTGGAAGCTTGTCCCATAGGATGTTACTGATTTGCAAACCCTAGCTTTGCTTGCATGGGAAATAACACTATTTCTACTCATCTTCTCTAACAACTACTCTACAGCCTTTGTTGTCCTGCAGCCAGCTCCCCAACTTCCCTCAGTGCTGCCTGAGGTCCTGGTGGGTCCAAGTCTCTGCCCAGGGCTGGGCACTGTGAGCTGCAGTTTGTGCCTGGTGCTAGTGAGAGCAGAGGAGAGAGCACAGCCCGCTTGCTAGCTCTGTGCAAACAGAGTTTTCCAGTGCCATGGTGCCCTGAGGAAAAAGGGAAAAGCTGGGAACTGGTGTTTGGTGCTGCCCAGACATCTCGTGAGTCACAGATGGGTAGGAACTGGTGGACACGTCCAGCAGAGGCAGGGGTGCTCTGCCCTTGGATGGGGCAGAGTCCGTGCTGTGTGGTGCTGCTGGCAGTGACCCTGCTCCAGGCCGGGCTTCAGGAATCCCTTCGGTGCTTCTTCTGTTCCCGGTACTCTGTTATTTTCCGCTGGAAATACGCTGTGGATGAGGAGAGGTCGTCAGGGAGAGGCAAGTGTTGGGCTGCAGAGTGCTGGGAATGCGGGAGCCAAACTCTGCTGGGTGATGGACAGCTGCAGCCAGGTGAGGAGCCCTGGGAAATCCTGGGTGTTGCAGTTCCACCCCGTCCCTCCCACCTACCCAAAATGGGCTTTATAATGCTGGGTTAGGCTAAGGTTTTAACCCGTATGTTCACTCCTGTTCAGTTCTTGTGGTTCCTCTCCAGCCACCAAGGAAGAGAGAAAATTGGAGACCCTGTTCCTAGGGTAGTTGCCAAAAAGGTGACATAGACTGGGAATAAGATGAGAAAGCTGGGATTGGGCCATTCGTCTTTCCCAACTCCAGGCAGACCCAGATCCATGTCCTCCCAGGCAGCCAGGAAGCCCCCAGCATCCTGCCCTGGATCGGCAGCAGGGTCAGGGCAGGGATTGTGCCCCTGCGCTGGGCACTGGTGAGGCTGCACCTCGAATCCTGTGTTCAGCTCTGGGCCCCTCACTACAAGAGAGACATTGAGGTGCTGGAGCGGGGCCAGAGAAGCGAATGGAGCTGGTGCAGGGCCTGGAGCACAAGTGTGATGGGGAAGGGCTGAGGGACCTGGGGGGTTCAGGCTGGAGAAGAGAAGGCTCAGGGGGGACCTGATGGCTGCCTACAAGTGCCTGAGAGGAGGATGGAGCCAGGAGGGGCTGGGCTCTGCTCCCAAGGAACAAGGGATGGGACAAGAGGAAACGGCCTCAACCCAAAGTAATGCCAGGATGTCTCTGGCCACTGGTGGTGTTTTGGGTGGCTTCCTCACCTGCTGTCTCCCATTTGCCCTCATCCCGGGCTGGGAGCAGGCTCAGCTCTGCCCAGTGCCCTGTAAATGCCCGGGAGAGGGGAAAGGTCCAGCCTGGCTGTGCAGAGATGAGTCAGGGCTCACAGGCAGCACCATCAGGAGCCAGCTCCCAGCTGCTGCCTGCGTCCAAGCCAAATCTTTGTGTTGCTACTGGCACGGTTGCCGAAACACTGCGCTCTGGGGAAGCCTGCCCCATCCCAGGCAAGCAACGAGAGCTGGCACGAGCCCAGGGGTGGGTTTCATTGCTTCAGAGAAACGCAGGTGTTGAAGCAAACGGGCGCTGCTCGCTGCCCTGGGCCCCCTCAGCCTCCAGCTGCATCCCTCTCGGTGCATGGAGCATCTCTTTCCCTTAACCAAGCCTTGCAGAGCTCACCCACCCCGCGAGGGGAGGGACGGGGCCGTTACCTTCCTGGGGGATCCTGCTCTTTTCTGCTTCCTCAATAAACAGGGAGAACATGTTGGTCTTCACAAACTTCTTCACGAACTTGCGGCTGCTCCTGGAGGCCACGGCCTTGCAGAAGGCTCGCTCCTGGAAGGTTCCTGCTCCGCTTTTGCTCCACTTGATGTGCGAGGCGTAGTGGCCCACTGTCCGCACAAAGAAGTGCACGAAGGCCTCGGAGACGAGCGTGTTCACCTGCTCGGGTGCTGGAAGGGGACGCGGAGCACGAGAGGTGGGGATGGGACCTCTGAACGCACAAAGAACGGTCTCATTTTAACCCCTTGTGCTTGCATCCCAAGGAATGATTTGCTTCAAACCTCCCTCTGCCACTAAGCCAAGCTGAGACCTTTTGCTAAGGGAGCACTGCCTCTTTGCTCTTTGCTTTCCAGGGTGGCAGCATCTTTGCAGGCCAAATATTGGCAAAAGCTGGTTTTTATCAGCAGAATTAGGTGTTCCTGCTCTCGTGTTCTGCAGGACAGGGCAAATGCCGAGGGATTTCCCTCCTGTGGCTGCATTTAGGTGCAAATTGGGGCAGAAACATCCCAGACACATCCCTTTAGGGATATAGTTTCACTGAGGACTCTGGCCATCTGCAGAGAGCAGCTTGTGTGTGTTTTACTGTACAGAAAGAAGCATCCTTACTGTGCACGTTGTTGTTGTTGTTGTGCCTGCTCAGAGACGTCAGCATCTCATTCTGCAGCTTGATGGGCAAGATCTCCTCCTCATCGCCAACCTGGAAGGCAAGGGCACCATGAAGAAGGTGGTACTGGTGGGAACCTGGCTGAGATGGGCACAGGCAGTGGTCGCCCAGTTAGGTGATTATCACTGCAGGGTGATGCTGGGAGTGGGATGTCCAACACGTGGACCACGCAAGTTGGATGCAGTGGCCATAGACATCCCTTCATGGGACATTCCCCCTGCATGGGTGACACTGAGACGTCTCTGCCCACCAGAATGTGAAAGCTGCTGGGAAGCTGGTACAGAGGGGGAAAGGGGCCCTTCCTAGAGCCCACCCCAGCCCCAAGCCCTGCACGGGGGGTACCTACCGCCCGGAGGATCTTCCCTTCACAGAGGTCAATGATCAGAGCCTAGAAGAGAGCAGAGAGGACCAGGTTTAGCCCTACCAAGGCATCTGGGCTTCCTCCCACATGTTTTGGGCTCAGGGCAGTGTGTCTGCAGCCCATGAGGGTGGGATCAGTGCCTCTGATGCCAGCAGCAGCTCCCTGACACCCGGGGTCAGGGTTGTAGGTCCTGAGGTGTCCGACAGTGCCAAGGGGGATGTGGAGACACTGCCAACAGGAGGGGACATGCAAGAAGCCCCAATCTCCAGCTTCCAGGGATGGGAAAAGGGCACAAGCAAAGCCTCCAGGCCTGGAGCCACCCCAGCCCCAGAGTCACTGAGTACCCATCCGGATGTGCTCCCCTGCCGGGATGAAATACCTCCTCCATCGGCTGGTCCAGGACCCGCTCCAGGTGCCGCATCTGGATGCCGACCATGAAGGGCGTGGGGCAGCAGACGGTGTCGAGCAGGCACTCGGGTACCACGGGGATGTAGGTGTGAGCCCAGGTGAAGGGGTAGAGGAGAGCGGCCACGGCGTGGATGCACTGCGAGAGGACGCTGCGGGGCGAGGAGCCGTCGTGGTGGCATCACGAGAGGAAAGGGGATTTCAGCACTTTGGAGGGAAGATCCCAGCCCAAGCTCAGCTGCGTCCTTCCCTCCTCCAAGGGTCTGAATGAGCTTTTATGGGCTTTTACCCACCAGGTCAGGCTCACCTGAGCTCCTGCGCCAGGAAGATGAGCCGTCGCTCCAGCACGGCCGAGGCAAAGATGTGCAGGATGAGCTGGGGGCTGAGCTGCTGGAGCAGAGCCTGAAACTCCACGTGCTCCAGGTGGGCATCCACAGGCCGGGTGAGCTCAATGAGCTGCCAAGGGAGAGCCACCAAACCCTGGCTTAGGAGGTGCAGCTCTCCCCTGGCCTCCCGAGGTGATGCAGGAGCCATCAATGACCCAGAGCTTGAAGCAGCTTGGAATCGTAGACCCACAGAGGGGTTTGGGTTGAAGGGACCTTAAAGCTCACCCAGCTCCAACCCCTTACCATGGTCAGGGACACCTTCCACTAGAGCAGCTTGCTCCAAACCCCTGCGTCCAACCTGCCCTTGAGCACTGCATCCCTCTGCAAGGACCAAACCTCATCTTGTCCTTGTCCTGCCTGGGGATTTAGGCTGTGCAGCACTGGGGCTGCAGGGAGCCAGCGGCACTGTGGGATTCGGTTATTTGGGCACTGGGTTTTTAACCAAAATGCCTCTTTTCCCAAGTCCCTGGGAGGAGGTGGGCAGGGACGTGCCCCCATCTCAGTGCCTGACAGCTCATTGGTAGCAGCAGCTTCTAGGTAGGGCTATAAAGCCAGCAAAGCTTCCTCAGAAGCCTCCCTGGGGCCAGAATCACTGATTCCTGGCTAGGGTGGCCCCAAGGTGCATGATGTGATGGCCATTGCCAGGTGGATGGTTGGTTGGTCTCCCAAACCCAGGTGGAAGCTCTGCCCTGCTGCAGGCAGCCCCGAGCTGGTGACCACTGAAGGGTTAACAGGAGCATCATGACACAGCCCTGGCCCCTCTTCCCTGGCTTCAGAGGGGGGAAATCCCTGTGCTCCGTGTGCCGGGCAGCAGCTCCCAGCACAGGGCTTGGCCGGGCTCCCCAGCCCCTTTCCAGCCCCAATCCTGAACATTCCCAACCCTTTCCCTGATCTCCTCCACCCGCTCAGCCCCTGCCTGGAGCCCCAGAGCCCAGCTCTTTCGAAGAACTTCCTTACCCATCCTCCCTGCTGGGCCCTTGGCCAGAGCATTGAGCAACCTGCAGAGCCCTTGCACAAGCCTTCCGGCAGGCAGAAACCTCCTGCAGTTTGATACCCAGCCGCCCCATTGCCCTGCACAGGAGGGACCTGGCTCTCGGACCCCCCCCCGGCAGGATGCATCCCTGGGTGCTCAGCACCGAGGTTGCGTTGCCGGTGCCAGGGCAGATCCTTCTTGGTTTTTCCACCCCAGTTTTGCCCCAAGGAAAGGCTCTGCCTGCACGAGCCTGGGCTGTGTGGGGGTGAGAGGAGCCTCACAGGCACCGTGCTTGGTTGTGCTTAGCGCAGGTAAAGGCTGGGCTTGGTGCATCAGCTCCTCCAGCTCCAACCCCTGCCACGGGCAGGGACCCCTTCCATAGAGCAGCTTGCTCCAAGCCCCTGTGTCCAACCTGGCCTTGAACACTGCCAGGGATGGGGCAGCCACAGCTTCTCTGGGCACCCTGTGCCAGCGCCTCAGCACCCTCACAGGGAAGAGCTTCTGCCTAAGAGCTCATCTCAGTCTCCCCTCTGGCAGGTTCAAGCCATTCCCCTTGGCCTGTCCCTACATCCCTTGTCCCAAGCCCCTCTCCAGCTTTCCTGCAGCCCCTTCAGGCACTGGAGCTGCTCTCAGGTCTCCCCTTCAGGAGCCTTCTCTTCTCCAGGCTGCCCCAGCCCAGCTCTCTCAGCCTGGCTCCAGAGCAGAGCTGCTCCAGCCCTCGCAGCATCTCCATGGCCTCCTCTGGCCTTGCTCCAACAGCTCCACGTCCCTCTTGTGCTGCTGCCCCAGAAGCTGCAGCCTGGGACATCCCACACAGACCCCCTGCCCCCCAACAACCCTCCCTGCTGCACCCAGAGCTACAACCATGGGCTCATGAGCAGGATGCAGCCCCAGCACGAAGCACCACACGTAAAGGCTGTGCAAGCACCCACGTGTTAAATGGGGTCTGGCAGCTCCAGCTCAAGGCTGATGCAGCTGCAGAGATGGGGCAGCATCACCTCTAGGTGGGCTCCATCCTCATCCTCCCTGCTTGCTGCTCTCCTCCTGGCCCAGGAGGGATGCGGCACCCGTATTCCCAGGCCATGAGGCCCCCAGCCTGCCCCACTGCACCCATGGGTTCTATGGGTGTGGAGGGCGCTCCCTATGTGGGAGCAGCCCAGGGCCCCCCACCAACCTCTGTGCCTGCCTCGGGGATGAAGCTTTTGATGGTGACGGTTTTCCCTGGAGCTGGGAAGGGCGATTCCCGCAGGCCCTGCATGAAGGGGTAAATCACTGCCATGGAGATCTGCCGCCTCTTCTCCACCTCATCCAGGATCTGCAGAGGGAGCGGGGGGGGAAAGCGACCCCTGAAACCCTGGCAGGCAACAGAGAGGCTGCTGGGGCCGGCACCGTGCCCCACGGCACCACCGCATCCCTACCTTGGAGAAGAGCCCAAAGCAGCCCAGGCAGCTGATGATGCAGAAGACCTCAGGGAGGCGGACGCCACGGCCCGATGGCTGGAAAAAGGATGGGAGAAGGGGTTTGGGGATCAGCCAGCCCCACTGCACCGCCTCCACGCTCACCCAGACACCCCCTCCCCAGAATACCCAGTCACTCGCTGGGGGAGTTTCAGAGCTGGGGTTCATGGATGCTGTTGGGGCTGGAAAGCAGAGGGTGCTTGGGAATTCAGATGCCAACGCCATTAATCACGTTGGGATATTCCCAAACTCCACCACGCATCCTCTGAGGCATCCTTGGGGCTAATCCTGCCTCCTGCTGAATTAGGGACCATCGGGATGAGGGCCCAGGCTTCTTTTCCCCTTTCCAACTGGACTCTCCTGGGTCTATTCACCCTCTGAGCTTTCAGCCTTCAGGGCATCCGCTTCAGACCAGGCAGAGCTCAGCCCTGGGTGCACAAGTGGGAAGTTTCAGGAGGGAATGAAGGGTGGTGGCATCCAGCAGGTCACCAAGCCGTGGTGGATGGATGGCCCTGTGGCTTTATGTCCGTGTTTAAGCAGGCTGTGCATCGATGAGCAGCCAAAGAACATCTCCATCACCCCTTGCAGCCCCTGAGCTGGCCAAATCCAGCAGCTCAGAAGCAACCTTTGAAACAGGGTTGAGGGCATCTGGGTGCACATCCCCATCCCGATGCTTGTCACCACCTCTGTCAAGGCAAGCGGCTTCCTAAGGCACCTCCCTAGGCTTTGGGTACGGCAGAAGCATCGTGTCCCACCGTGGGCACGGGTGACCCGGCCACCACTGACCCAGCAATGGGCGCCTGTGCAGGGAGGTGCTCACCAGCAGCCGCCTGCAGTAGCCGATCTTTCTGCTGCCATCCACGTTGGTGAGGACGAAGGAAAATGTCTCACTGCAAGGAGAGACAACACATGGGGATGGGGTGGGGTGGGATGGGATGGGAAGGGATGCGATGGGATGGAATGGGATGCAAAGGGATGCAAAGGAATGGGAAGGGAAGGGATGGAATGGGAAGGGATGGGAAGGGAAGTAATGGGATAGGAAGGGATGGGATGGGAAGAGAAGGAATGGGATAGGAAAGGATGGAATGGAATGAGTTGGGGTGGGATGGAATGGGATGGGATAGAATGGGACGGAATGGGAAAGGATGGGAAGGGATGGGACGGAATGGGAAGGAATGGGATGGGATAGAATGGGATGGAATAGGAAAGGATGGGAAGGGATGGGATGGAATGGGAAGGGATGGGATGGAATGGGGTGCGAAGGGATGGGGTGGGAAGGGATGTGATGGGATGGAATGGGATAGGAAGGGATGGGAAGGGATAGGATGGGATGCGATGGGAAGGGAAGGAATGGGATGAGTTGGGGTGGGATGGGATGGGATGCAATGGGATGGGAAGGGAAGGAATGGGATGGGAAGGGATGGGATTGAATGGAATGGAATGGGAAGGGAAGGGATAGGATGGCTCCCCCAGCCCAGAGCCCGCAATGGGGTTGGTACCTGGTGAACTCGGTGACAGGGGCCCAGTTGTTGCCATCGGGGAAGCAGAAGAGGGGGATGGCCTGCAGGAGACGCTCCTCCTCCTCCTTCTGGCCCTTCAGCAAGTTCTCACGCTGGAATGAAGCGATGCTCAGAGTCAGGGTGATGGAGGGTGCCCACGGTCCCGGGGCACGGGGTAGGTGTATTGCAAAGCAAACCCTAGCTCAAACCGAAGCAGAAGATGCTGCACATCCCTGTGCATCTCTCCAGCTTCTGCCTCTTCCCCCATGGATTACGGGACACAGCAGAGGCACCCAGGGGCCACTCTCCAAACAGGGTTCTCCTCCTGTGCCACCTCCCCAAGGTGAGATTTCCCCCCCTCCTGGGACAGGAATTCATGGAGCATCCCTGGGATTATTGCCCTGGGGTTCGGGACCCTGGGCTTGGACCAGGCAGGCAAAGCCCTGGGGTTTGGGGCCACAGCTCAAGGCCATGAGCTCCTTCTCTGTTCTCCTCCCCTGGCTCTTGCGATGGAGCAGAGCCCCCTTTTCCTCTGAGTCTGGAAAGCTCATCCCCCTGGGAAGGCTGGACCGCGCACCTTTGGGAACTGGTAGGTTATCTTGGGCTCGTAACGTCCATCCAGCACCTTCCTCAGGGACACCACCACCAGGTACTCGAAGAAGAACTGGCCAGCAGAATAGAGGAGAGGGCTCCGCTCCCCGGCCTTCCCCTGCGGCACCCGCGAGGGGTTCTCTGCACCAGGAGCCTCCTCTTTGCCTGGACACGGGTAGGAAAAGAGCAATGGCTTTTATGGGGCCTTGGGGGGAAACCAAAGCGGCATCCGCTGCCCCCAGCCCTCCTTTGCTCCATCCCAGAGCAGAGCCAGAGGTGGGATGGGGCAGAGCAGAGGTGTGGGAAGGATTTCCCAGCTGGTAATGTTATTCCCTTAGGGAAAACCAACCCCAGCAAGCAACCAGTGTGGGTCTCGTTTGAGCACCTCCAAAGGCTCCAGTAAAATGAATCCCAACCTCTCCCTGCCGCGTGTCTTCAGTCCTGGGAGCTGCTCATTGTAAATGAGCTCCTTGAGGGTTTTCCCTAAACCACAGCTCCCAAAGCAAAGCGATTCCCTGGGAAAGCATCAGCTGCCACAGCCTGAAAAACAAGGCAAAGAGCCCGGGCTGACATCTCCAATGGATGATGATGGTGGGGCCGGGAAGGAGCTGAGCTAAAGGCTGATGTGAGGCTGCAGCCAGGCCATGGCACAGCCCTTCCCTCTCCCAGCAGCTGCTTGTGACCTTGAATCGCCCGTTCCTGGCATCAAAACTGTCCCGGGCTTGGTCCCCGCTCTGTCAACAATGGGAGCTGGAACAGAAAAGCTGGAGCTGCTCCTAGAACAGGCAGGAACACAAACGTGTGGCTGGATGGGACATCTGACTCCTGCCATTTATCCCTGCATGCCAGAGTCATCGTCCATCCTCCTCCTCCCTGGTGCATGACACCCGTCTGTGCATCCCTCCAGCTCTGCAGCCACCTCCTTTCTCCTGGAATCACCCTTCCAGCCTTTGCTCCAGGTCAGCAGGAGCCGATGGGAGCAGAAAGCTCATCCAAGGTGACACTCACCGTCCCATCACAGGATGTCGGGATGGGGACACGCACGAAGCCACCCCTGCATCTACCCTGAGGCTGCTCCATCTCTGCATGCCAAGTTCTTCCTCTTGGCAAGGTGAGAGCCATCCCAAAGAGATCCCCTTGCAGCAGGAGCATCCTGAGTATGAGACCCCACTGTGGACACCTCTGGTTTGTCCTTGGTGGGGATCACCAAGGGTTGATAGGATGCTCTTTGCTTCTCCAGCTCCTCCTTGGAATGCTCCAGCAGCGGCTCCAATCCAACCTCCCTACAGGGCTGGGGCAGGAGGCTGCTGCTGGTGGGACTGAAGGGAACCAGGCTGCGCAGTGAGGAGGGCTGCTGATGTTCCCCATCCTTGCTGGACACCGGCATCAGCTGTTTTCCCGTGGGAGATTGTCAGGGAAAGGTGAAAGTCTGGTTAAATGCTGCCTATCCAGTCCCGTCCCGCATTCCAAGGAATACAGGAGGCACTCTCAAGTGCATCTCATCCATAGGGTTTCCAAAGAGCTGCTCCGGAGCGGTTGGTGACAGCGGGTGCAGGTCTGCCTCTCACAGGGTGACCCATGGGCCTGTCCAAAGCACATCCACTGTGGTGGGACATGCCCAGAGTGTGGTGGGATCTGGCTGCAAAGCCCTCACAGGCAGAGCCTGAACCCTCCAAACCCACAACCCCCATCCCTGGGCTAGAAGGGGCGCTCTGGGGGGCCATGCAGATGGGTTTAATGCAGCATCAGAGGTCCCAGCATGCCCCCGATGGCACCGGGGCTGGTGGTGTTAAAAGACATCCTGCTGCTTAAGCAGCTTCCTCAGCCAGAGCCGGGGGTGCTTATCGAGGGCTGTGCTCCGATGTGGCACAACCCGGTCAGGCACGATGGGTTGGGGGGGGGAACGACAAGGACTCTGCTGCCCGTGCTTGCAGCACCCACCCTGCCCCAGCACGGAGGAAATGGCTTTTCCTTCTCAACCCTTCTTTGCTGAGCTCGGAAAAGCCTCTCCGGCACCCAGAGCGAGAGGCAGCCAGCACTGAACGGACCCGAAAAGGGGAGAGCGCCCCAACTCTCAGGTTGTCCCATCCGGTAGCTCGGGAAAGCTCCCAAATCCCAAAGGGCCGATTCCTGGGCTGTCCTCTGAAAGCCTCGCAGCACTGACCCGTCGTGGGGCACCGTGTGCCCGCGGGTGCTCTCTGTCCTCCGGCACGTCCTGGCACTCGGCTGGGAAAGCTCTGGGGGGATGTGGTGATAGGGACCCGGTGGGGCTGGCTCTGGGAGCGGGGAACCCCACCTGGGGGTCCCAGGGGATGGGGGCAGCTCCTGGGCTATGGGGCGCACTGGGCTAAGCCCCTGGGGATGGAGCAAGCTCCGGGGCGGGCGGCCCGAGCCGCGCTCCGCAGAGTGAGCGTGCACGGGCAGGACCGAACCGGTGCCGGTCTCCGGGTACCGTCGGTCGCACCCGATGTGCCCCGGGGAAGTCCCCGCTCCGCCGGCAGCCGGGCTCCGGCACCGCCACGAACACCGGTACCGGCACCGGCACCTCCCGGAGCCCGGCTGCGGTCCCCGGCGTCCCCTCCCGACCCTCACCTCTGCGGCCGGAGCGCCGCAGGCTCCGTCGGAAGAAGTTGCCGATGGAAGCCATGGTGGCCGCGGCCCCGGTGTGGCCCCGGTGCGGCCGCGGTGTGGCCCCGGTGCGGAGCAGCGCGGCCCGGCGGGGAGGGCTCGGCTTCCGCCCGCCGCGCTTTCGCTTTCCCGGGGGAGGAGGGACGGGACGGGGCGGAGAGGAGAGGAGAGGAGGAGCGGGGGGAGCCGGGCAGCACCTGGCACCGGCCGGGCACCGGGAGACCGCCCAGGGCTCTGATGGGGTCCCGGGAGCGCCGGGCACCGAGAGCCCCCGGGCATGGCGGTCCCGGAGGCACCGGGAATGGGAGCACCCCTGGGTACGAGGGTGCTGGGAGGAAGCGGGCATGGGGCATCCGAGAGAACTGGGAATGGGGAGATCGGGAGCACCGGGCACGGGGAGCCAGGAGAACCAGGCAGGGGGAGCCTGGGAGGGACCCGGATACAGGGGTCCCGGGGACACCGGGAACGAGGGAGATAAGCATCCCTGCAAAGGGGCTGAGCATCCTGGTGGGGAGCTTGGGGAAGGATATGGGGCATGGCTGGACACAGGGAATGAGAGGTGGCTTCACCCTGCACCAGAGGGAACAAGTGGTCCCAAACATCCAGCAGCCCTGCCTGAGCCCTGCTCTGGCCTCCCTACCTACTCCAAGCCCTTTTCCTGCTGGGAACCCGATGGTGCCAGGGATGGTGCCCAGTGCTGCTGGGGTGAACGATCCCATGGAGGTTTGGGATCTCCCACAGTGCAATGTGATGGGGAGTCAGCCTGATGCTTTCACTTCCATGGCCTGGGAGCTTGTCCTGACTCCACTTGGGAATGCCGGCAGGGTTGTGCTGGCATTTCTTCATCAGACAGAGATTTATTGCCCGTATCAGAGTGACTCAGAGGTGCCAGCTCCGGGGCTGGAGGCCAGTTGCCATCTGACTCTGTTACAGGGACAGCAGCTCCTTAGTGCTGCGACACAGTGGTTGCCCTGGCCTGGGCATGCAGCTGGGTGCCTGTGGACCTGCTTGGCCTCGCTGGGTGGTTTTACTGCTCCAGACCCACCAACGAGGGAAGACTCTTGAAAACCAATGATCTCCTTTCCCCATCCCACACCCCTCATATCTCCTCTGCTGCCTTTAGGCTCATGCAGTAACGAAGCACAGAGCTCTCAGTTATGAGGCCCTTAAGTGTGATGAGCTGGGCACAGTTCTCAGCCTCAGTGCCGGGGGGGGGCTGTTTGCAGGTGTAAGAGCAGGTTTCCTACACCGAACACCCTCCTTACGACAGCTCCCAGCCCCTTTCCTGCTCTTTCCTTCGCCGAGCGTGGGCCGGAGCTCAGGGAGGGATTTGCCAGCTCACAGAGGGGGTGGATGCTTTCGAAACCTATCCCGGCCAGGATGCTGCAGCCTCTTTGGGGTTATCAGGGAGCTGCTGGTCCGGGATAGGTTCTGGCTGATCCTGAATGGGTGGAGGAGCACTCGTGCTTCCCGCAGGAGTGGGCAGCGGCTTTGTTTGCGCTGAGGGCTTGCTCGCGGCAGAAATTTCCTCTTGGCACAAAGGGGAGATCAAAAGTTGGGGGTTTTCCCTCTGGATTTTGGAGGAAAATCCCGTCTTTCCTGGAAACCGGAGCCACTTCGGGAACGCGGCTGCTGCCCTCAGCGCAGAGAAATCCCCGCATTCCTTGAGTTTGTTCCCCGTACACACAGATCTTTTCTGCCTTCTCTCTTTAAGGCAAGTCCCTGCCTGTGATCCCGCCTCGATAATGCCTTGACTCCGCTCCGGCGGCTTTTGTGCGCCGTGTTCCCAGCTCCGAAGCCCCCCCGCTCCCGAGGGAACACTGCCCCCTTTGTGCCCATGGCCCCGGTCCAGCAAACCTTGAGGTTGCGCTCTTGAACATCCCCACTGAAAGCTCCTTTCTGCGGGAAGGCTGCCGCCCACCGGGACAACAAACGGGCGCATTGTGGGATCCCCGCTGCCCCTGCGCTGCGCCGTCCCCAATGCCAAAGTTGTTTCACTTCCCTAAACCAGCCCCGGGGAGTTTTGTGTTGGATTTTCAGCCCCGGAGCCGATGAAAACCCGCTGGGATCCGGCTGGAATCCGTTCAGCCTCCAAACGCCCCGCGGTCGGGGAACGCCGTTGTAAGCATCCCATGGGACGGGAGCGACCTCACTGCTCGCGCTGCAGCTCCTCAGCCTCCTCCTCCTCTTGAGGCTCAGCTTGCTGACCCTTGCCTCATCCCGGTGCATCCTCACCCCTTCCTCATCCCCTCGCTGAGTGCTGTGTTTTGGGAAGGGCATCAGGATGCTGGAGGAGCTCAAGCACATGGCGTGCGAGCGGGTTTTATTACGCCCATCACAGCCAAGCTGGGACTGGGACTTGGAGATGGAAGCTCAGGTGTGGCTGCAGCATCCCTGGCAGGGAGGTCCCGAGGCTGGTGATGGGTGTCCCCCCCCCCAGCCCTGCGCTGGGGACCCCGATGTTCTTGTTTCCAGCCTTTCCCAGCCGGGGAGTTTCTCCCACTGGATGGCAGCATTAGAGCAAAGAACCATCTCCAGGAGCCCTTGTGGGAGAGGGGACCTTGCTCCAGGGGGACCTTTCTCTCTGGTTATCTGGCTCCTGGGAGGTTGGGTCATGGGCTGAGGACGTGCAGGTTCAGTTCATTCGTGTTTGCACGCTCCCTGCCGCTGATGCTTCACTCACTGCCCTGTTCGGTGCTTGCTCATCACCCCCAGCTCCCCTAAACGGGGTGGCCTCTGCCTGTTCCTCTTCCTCAGGATGCTTTGTGGGTGTAGGGGACCTGTCAGGGTAGGGGGGGGGGGGACTGAGAGCCAGCTGGGACTCTCTGGTGTCAGCCTGGGCAAGGAGGAGAGATGTCAGCCCTTATGGGACACCGATATCATGGCTTCTTAGCACGGCGCATCCCCATTGCCCAGAGCCCCTCGTGCTGCAGTTGCTGGGGTGCAGAGAGCCCCGAGTCAAAGCCACAGACCTCCAAGAGAGGGCATTTCTGCCTCAGAGAAAGCTTTAGGGACCATTTCTTGCATGGGGGCTGCACAACGCCTGGGGATTAGAAAACACAGCTCATGCGGCCACTTCTCCTTGCACCCAATGGTTTGAATCCCAAGTCTTTCATTCACCTTTAGGGTTTCTTGGAGGTGGTGTTCCCAGAGGGGCTCGGGCAGTGCTGGGTGGGCAGGGAGGGTTGGTGCGGAGCTGCGGCCCCCTTGCACATCCAGTGCAGAGAAACTGCTCCTTTCTGAGGCTGTTTAATGGTCAGGAGGTGCAAAGACATCTCAGTTTACAGGCTCAGGCCAGGCTGGCATCGCTGTTTGCAAGCAGGAATCCATAGATAGAAAGGGTCGAGGGGCAGAGCCCAGCCTCAGGTGTAGGATGGGATCTTCCCCAGTCCCTCCTGCTCTGAGCAGTGACTTGTCCTGGGTTCAAATGCCAGCTCGGGGCCATTCCAGCCCTGGGGGCGTGTTGCAGGGGTCAATCTCCTGCAGCATGCAAAGGCTATGGCTGGTTTTCCATCAGGATGTGCCTGGGTTTGGGCCCCTTTTCCTGCTCAGTTCTAAGGGCTTCTCCCTCCATGTTGGCCCTGGTGCAGAATTAACCCTCAGCTGAGCTTGGAAAACTCATGGCACGTGCGGAGGCACCAGGGTCCAACCTCCTGGGGGGCTTTGGCAAAGTCCTGGCCAATCTGAAAGCATCCTGGTTCAGGGAAGTGCCAGTGCCAGCGGTACTGGGGACACCGGGGTGACGGTGCTGGGGGTGACGGTGGCTTGTCCCTGGGGAGCACTGGGTGAGGATGGAAAGGGCTGAGGCAGCCAATGGGGAGCTAAAGCTAGGAGGAAAGTGGGGATTTTCCAACCTGGAGAGGGCAGGGAACTCTGGAGCATGGGGTGGGCACCCACGTGAGTGTGGGGGTCCCATGCCCACAGTGATGACCCCAGAGCTTGCCTCATCTCCTCCAAAGAGCAAGAAGCATTTAGAGCTCAGTGCAGTGCCCCGGAGATGTGTGTGTGTGTGTGGGGGTACCAGGGTGGCAAAAGCCCCCCCAGAAGTTACACTGCGAACCATGCCCCCCCCCCAGGCTCTGAGCTCGGTAGGATTTGCTAATCTCCAGGCATTGTTGGCACTCAGAACAATGATTTATTGCATGTTTTGCCACAGCAAGTACTTTCCGAAAGGCCAAGCTAAGTTTACACCGGAGCTGCCGGGATCAGATAACCACTGCCTGGCTGCTCCCTCCGTCCCCGTCCCTCCTGCTTGCAGAAGGACATCATGACCCCAGGAGGACTTCATCTGCTCCTATGTGCTGCAAGGGAAAGGCGACCACGGGCCACGAGCAGCAGGAAGGGAGCACTGATGGGGTGCCCCCTCCTGCAGGCAATGGGGTGGGATGCGGGTCCTGGCCTGGCTTGCAGGGAGACGAGAGCCTCAGGTCACCCTGCCAGGGACAGCAAACACCGGGTGCTGGTGCCCGGCCTGGCCGTGGCCACCTCGGCGGGGGTGTTAAATTCAAGCAGCTTCTCGCCTTCGGTGGCAGCCAGGGCTGGGTGCCCCGCACGTCCCAGGGCATTCCTGCAGTGCTCCAGCAGCCCCTGAGATCCCCAAGGGCTTTACAGGTGTCGGGTAGGAAGGATGCTTCTGGCCACCGTCTCCCAGTGGGATCCCGGAGCATCTCCAGCCTGTGGGGCGGGTGAGCTCCCTCTGCACCATGGAGCAGGTCCCTCGATCCAGCTTGCTGTTTGAAAGGGAAGTGCTCCTGTCTCCTAAGGGTCACTTGGGATCCCCCCCTGCCCTGTCTGCCACCCTTGTCCCCAGATCCTGCCACCTCCTCACCCCAAGGAGGTGGGGAGGAGCCCATCACATGCAAAAACCACCACCAGCCTCTGCTCTGGCCATTGCTGGCCCTTGGTCAAGGCAGGCTGGACGGGGCGGCATTCCCTGCTGGAGTGTCCCTCCTGCCTTAGGATCATGGAATCAGCCAGGCTGGAAAAGCGCTTTCAGCTCATCCGGTCCAACCTCTATACCAGCGCTGCCAAGGCCACCACTGACCCATGGCACTGAGGGGGTGTGAGCACTGCAGGGACGGTGACTGCAGCCCTGCCCTGGGCAGCCTGTTCCAATGCCTGAGCACCCTCTGGGGCAGGAATTGTTCCTCAGCTCCATCTAAACCTGCCCTGGGGCAGCTTGAGGCCGTTTCCTCTTGTCCCATCCCTTGTTCCTTGGGAGAAGAGACTGATCCACCTGGACCAGGAGGATGAGGATGGAGCATCCTCTTCCACACTGGTTTCCTTGCCTGTCATTTGGTCAAGAGATCAAACCCCATTTGTTCTCCGAAGCCCATGTGCTGGTTCAGCTGCTCTGGAAGTGCTTTGGAGTGATGCTTCCTCCAGGGAAGACACAGGGCTGTCACTGCGCTGAGTGGGCACAGTAGAGGTGGCGCAGGGCAGGTGCCCTGACCACAGCAGCAGGCATCCTTAAGCACATCTGGGCCACATCTGGCTCTGGGTACACCAGGGACCTAAGGACCAGTCGCGGAGGGGACAGCATCCTCCCAAAGCTTGGCGCCGGATCTGGAGGGTTTCAGCCGGACCCAGGCGCAGGCTGATGGAATGTCCCCATGATGCTCCCTGGTGGCAGTAGAGAAAGGGTGCAACCCCGAACTGCTTCGAATTCCCAGTTCCCTGGCACCTGCAGGGACTCACTGGGATCTGAGGGTCGCGCAGCCTCTCTCATAGCCCCTCCAATCCAGCCAAATCTCTCAGGGACACAGTAGGGAGGCTCCCAAACAAAGGCGTTAGAAAGGGACGTGGGATGGGTCCGGGATACGGGGTCCCATCAAGGAAGCAGATCCCGTCTGCTTCGGAGCATCCTGGAAAGGACCAGCCCTCCTCAAAGCCCTCAGGCACGGCAGGGTGCAGGGTGCCAGCCGCCACCACGGCCTGGGAATGTCCTTGGGATATCGGGTGCCCCGTCCCAAGCACAGCTGGTCCCAGAGGCTGGAGGGGTCTGGTCCCGGTCTGCTTGGATGCTTTGAGGCCCGGAGGCTGTGGTGGCGGTGGAGCACGGCAGTGTCCGGCTGGGAATCCACAGGAGGTGGGGAGGAGGATGCAGATAGGAAGAGGGGATGGGGAGAGCAGAGGGAGAGGAGGAGCCAGGTGAAAGCATTGGAGGCAAAGGAGGGAGGGTGTGGATGTGAGAAGATAAAGGAGGAGCTGGGAGGGGAATTGGAGGTACCAGCATCAATGTTGGTCCTGCAGGAGGGACTGGAGAGGAGCAGAGCAATGGTTTTGAGGACATTTAATGGTCCTTCAGTCCCTGACGGAGGTAAAGGGATGCTGAAGTCAAGTGGCACCAGGAGGGTGTGCCTGGGGATGTAACTGGCCACCAGCACCGTGAACCCTGACGGGGGTTTCAGTGCCTTGGAGTCCTCCTATCAGGGCTAGACCCCCTCCTGGGGACCAGCTGGCACTGCCTGGGCCCGTGTGCATGGTGAGGCTCTGAGGGGTGATGGTTGCCCCTGTGCAGTGGGAAGCAACCACCCGGGCTCCCTGCTGATAGCAGATGCTGAAGAAATCCAGTGCTGGTGCTGCTGGACCCTGGGGCTGTGCTGTTTCCTCTCCCTTCTCTCGCAGAGCCTCCCAGCTCCCCAGTGTTCAGGCGTTGGCTGCATCCCCTGGGTACCATGTCCTGCATGGGATGGCCAAACGTGGCTTGTGACCCTGGGGCTTTCTGAGCTTTTGGAGCAGGAGGGAAACCCCAAGCTGCTGCTTCAGCCTTTCCTCGCTGCAGAGCAGGACCAGGCATTGTCAGAGCCTTATTGGCATCCCCCAGCTGCTGACCCCAACCCTTGGTTGAGGTGACTCCGGTCGAGCTGAGGACATCGGGGCTGGTGAGGGCTCTGTGCTTACTCTCCTAGGTAAGGCCCTGCAAATGGGAGGCAGAGCAATGCCCGGGTCTTG